AATGAACACCAATATTATGCAAGGTAGGACCAAGAACAACAATATTATGCGGGGTAGGACTATGGACACCAATATTATGAAAGGTAGGACCAAGGACACCAAAAGACGATTATTATTTAACTTTTTTATCTTTGTATTTCAGAATTCATCTGTACTCTGAGATGTGGAGATATTTTGATGTTGGTCTTCATGAGTTTATGCATAATTATATCTTCCAACCCCTCACTAAGCTTCATAGCAGTTTACCAGGAATCAAATACAGAATTCAAGAATGCCGCCATTTTTTTTTTGTTGGCGGCCATTTTATAATTTTTCTTTGATATTGAGCCATTTTTTTAAATTAAATGTCTTGATGTGTTCGAATAAAATATAGCATGCAATTTGTTATATTTTTCATGAATGATGATCATATTTTTACAAGCTGTGATTGAAAAATTTACTCTCTCTCTAGCAACATTTAAAAAGATATTTAATATTTCTTAACTTTCAATGTTTATTTCTTAAAGAACAGTTTAAATGTAAGGCCTATCGTCCTATAGGTTGCAAACTAATAGGGTGGCTTTATTTTTACATAAGCAACGATGATGCAATAAACATAATTTATGGTTTTTTATGTTTTACGACTTCGAACATGTTTGGAATCAAAAAAAAAATTATTTTTAATTTTAAAATGTTTTATTAAAATCAAGAAAGTGTAACCTTGGTAGGAAAAAAAAATGCTAAAGGAGAATAGCTGTACCTCAAGATTTTTTCTAACCGTTGGATAGGTAATTTTAAAAGAAATATTTCTTAATTGGCTAGGTTCGCCCCCGTCCAACCCCCAAACCCTACTCCGCTGAAAGAACTCCTTTAATTTGAGTCATGTATTTGATCTTCAACAGGAAAACTGGTGTACAGTGTAATCTGCTTTAGCTTTGTGTACATTTGGCATGGTATGTTTATTTTGCATGTTTGTTTTATGTTGCTTGCTGGTAAGGCTTCGAATTTATAAATAAAGTAAACTATGATAGAACCTCAGAAAACTATAATAGAATTTTAGAAAACGATAATCAAATTTTTGAAAACTATGATAGAATCACAGAAATATTTGAGCAAATCTCAAAAACTATGATATATTCTCAGAAATATTTAAGCGAATCTTAAAAACTATGATATAATCTCAGTAAAAATGATGTTAGAATCTCAGAAAATTATGATAGATATTCAGAAAACTATGATAGAAATAAGAAAACTGTGTTAGAATCTCAAAAAACTATGTTAAACTCGAATTTTAGATCTAAGTATTAAGAAGCCTATGATTTTGTCCTAATCTGGAGTATACTAAATTGTACTGGAGTCCTAAATCTGATTTATTAGGAACCTATGATTTTGTCCTAATCTGGAGTAGAGTCCTAAATCTGAATTATTAGGAACCTATGATTTTGTCCTAATCTGGAGTATACTAAATTGTACTGGAGTCCTAAATCTGATTTATTAGGAACCTATGATTTTGTCCTAATCTGGAGTATACTAAATTGTACTGGAGTCCTAAATCTAAATTATTAGGAACCTATGATGTTGTCCTAATCTGGAGTATACTAAACTGTATTGGAGTCCTAAATCTGAATTATTAAGAACCTATGATTTTGTCCTAATCTGGAGTATACTAAACTGTACTGGAGTCCTAAATCTGAATTATTAGGAACCTATGATTTTGTCCTAATCTGGAGTATATTAAACTGTACTGGAGTCCTAAATCTGAATTATTAGGAACCTATGATTTTGTCCTAATCTGGAGTATACTAAACTGTACTGGAGTCCTAAATCTGAATTATTAAGAACCTATGATTTTGTCCTAATCTGGAGTATACTAAACTGTACTGGAGTCCTAAATCTGATTTATTAGGAACCTATGATTTTGTCCTAATCTGGAGTATACTAAACTGTATTGGAATCCTACTTGAAACCCTAGGAAGAGAGGTTGGGAAGATACCTGCCTACAACAAATGGGAAACAGGTTCAAGTGCTTTTACCTTTAAAGGGAGTAACCGGCTAGAGATTGTAGTTGAGCTGAAAGTGCAGTATTGTAGAGAAATTATTAAGTACTAGGCTTTTAGGGCGCTTCGCGCCCATCTTCTATTCAAATTGTGAACATAATATTAAAAAAAACCTAAAAGATGACTAGTTCTGATTAGGCATTGAGATATTTCTTTTGGTTTCTTATCACAGAAATATTTATATGTGTTTCCTTCCAGCAGGCCTACACTCTTCAGGTGAGGATCTTACGGTGGTAACCAGAAAACAGTGGAGTTATTGTTGTTGCTTTTTTAACATAACTATACTAGTTTTAGTTGTTAATTTTCAAACCACGATTTTCTTCATTATACTCTGTGGGGTTATGTGAGTTGTTCAAATATATTCATATTTGCACCTAAGCATTTTTATTAATAAATCACTAACTCAAAAGTACAATTTGTATTGCAAGTTTTTAGTTAAAAGAACAAAGAAAGACGACATTTATTCTACAGCTTTCTGGTTCTAACACTGTTCTAAAGAGTTACTAACCAAGGATGAGACTTCAGAAATGATTTCACGGTGTTTTTTGCTTGTTTAGTCATGACTTTCTGATAAAAAAAGTCTCATCAAAATATCATATTCAAATCTCTTAATTTATAAAGTTGTTTTGGTCGTCATTTAAATGACAGAAAACGTAATTTTAAGTGACCCTCCATTGAAAAATGGCAATACCCGATTCACAACAATACCCTCGAAAACTTATCTAATCTATAATGTGGAAGAAATTTATTGTCATTTAACTCTAATACTTCCTATTTGTTTTCCCGCAGTAAAGATGCTTAATCATTTTGTAGAAAAACCAAAACTAAAATAATAAATTTTCCAAATTATGATGATAAATATCTGAATCATACTTGATCAAAAAAAGCTTAATCGGCCATTACCATATATCTTTCCATGGAGAGTCACTTGAAATTACGCTTACAGTCTCTTTAACAGTTTGTTTCTAGTTCATTTTAAACAATTCAGTTTTTACTATTGAGAAAGTGTTGAATTCAGTTAATTTCCTCCAATGTCTCCGTAGCGTAAATGCTCAAGCCAATTTTTAAGGAAAACCCAATTAAGATTTTACATGTTCTGCTGGAAAAACATGAATATATCAGTTATCCCTGATCAAACAAAGGTTTAAAGGTGTCCGTTGTGAATCAGACATGCAATATCTTTTTAATTTTTAGGTTGATCTAGTCCAGTCCCTGGATATGTTGGCTCTGCGTGGGATGGATATATTATGTTTAATGTTCAAGTTGATCTATTTCAGTCCCTGGATATATGGGCTCTGTGTGGGATGGGATATATTATGTTTAATGTTCAGGTTGATCTAGTCCAGTCCCTGGATATGTGGGCTCTGTGTGGGATATATTATGTTTAATGTTCAGGTTGATCTAGTTCAGTCCCTGGATATATGGGCTCTGTGTGGGATATATTATGTTTAATGTTCAGGTTGATCTAGTCCAGTCCCTGGATATGTGGGCTCTGTGTGGGATGGGATATCTCATGGGACAATTCTTTCAACTTAAGTAAACCAAACAATAACTTAAAGGGACTGATGCCATTGTTTTTTACTTGAGTAAACTATGTAAAGGGAAATATGGCAATTATTAACTTAAGTAAACTATTTAAAATTTCTGGTGCCTTTGTCTTTTCTTGAGTAAACTATTTAAAGGGGCTGATGGGTTTTTTTTGTACTAACGTAAACTATTAAATGTAATTGATGCCAATTTTTTTAAATTAATTAAAAGTATTTCAAGGGTCTAATGTAAAGTAAAGTGTTTAAAGAGACTGATGAGTATTTTTCAATAAAATGAAAGTATTTCAAGGGTCTGAGATTGAAAGTGCTGAAATTAACTGATGGCAATTTTTCAAACACAGTAAAGAAGTGAATGGTACTGAAGTCAATTGTTGAAATAAAGTCAAGAAGTTAAAAGCTTACTTTTTTTAAACGTCCATTTCATTTGATTTGACTTTTTGTTATCAAGTTTTTAAAAATATAATTTTGTAATTGATAATATTTTTATAAATTTAAAGGTATGTTGTTATGTATGGATGCGGAAGTTTTATTGCAAAACTAGATTCAGTAGACGCTCCCCCACATCCTAAGTGCATTGCAAGGTAGGATCAATATTATGCAAGGTAGGACTAAGAACACCAATATTATGCAAGGTAGGACCAAGAACACCAATATTATGCAAGGTAGGACCGAGAAGACCAATATTATGCAAGGTAGGACTAAGAACACCAATATTATGAAAGGTAGGACCAAGAACACCAATATTATGCAAGGTAGGACCGAGAAGACCAATATTATGCAAGGTAGGACCAAGAACACCAATATTATGCAAGGTAGGACTAAGAACACCAATATTTTGCAAGGTAGGACTAAGAACACCAATATTTTGCAAGGTAGGACCAAGAACACCAATATTATGCAAGGAAGGACCAATGAACACCAATATTATGCAAGGTAGGACCAAGAACAACAATATTATGCGGGGTAGGACTATGGACACCAATATTATGAAAGGTAGGACCAAGGACACCAAAAGACGATTATTATTTAACTTTTTTATCTTTGTATTTCAGAATTCATCTGTACTCTGAGATGTGGAGATATTTTGATGTTGGTCTTCATGAGTTTATGCATAATTATATCTTCCAACCCCTCACTAAGCTTCATAGCAGTTTACCAGGAATCAAATACAGAATTCAAGAATGCCGCCATTTTTTTTTGTTGGCGGCCATTTTATAATTTTTCTTTGATATTGAGCCATTTTTTTAAATTAAATGTCTTGATGTGTTCGAATAAAATATAGCATGCAATTTGTTATATTTTTCATGAATGATGATCATATTTTTACAAGCTGTGATTGAAAAATTTACTCTCTCTCTAGCAACATTTAAAAAGATATTTAATATTTCTTAACTTTCAATGTTTATTTCTTAAAGAACAGTTTAAATGTAAGGCCTATCGTCCTATAGGTTGCAAACTAATAGGGTGGCTTTATTTTTACATAAGCAACGATGATGCAATAAACATAATTTATGGTTTTTTATGTTTTACGACTTCGAACATGTTTGGAATCAAAAAAAAAATTATTTTTAATTTTAAAATGTTTTATTAAAATTAAGAAAGTATAACCTTGGTAGGGGAAAAAATGCTAAAGTAGAATAGCTGTACCTCAAGTTTTTTTTCTAACCATTTGATAGGTAATTTTAAAAGAATTATTTCTTAATTGGCAGGGTGCGCCCCCGTCCAACCCCCCAACCCTACTCCGCTGAAAGAACTCCTTTATTTATTTATTTATTTATTTTCGTAAACGTACACAATTTAAATAATTGGTACAATTAAAATTAATTTGAGTCATGTATTTGATTGCCAACAGGAAAACTGGTGTACAGTGTAATCTGCTTTAGCTTTGTGTACATTTGGCATGGTATGTTTATTTTGCATGTTAGTTTTTTGTTGCTTGCTGGTTAGGTTTTGAACCTCAGAAAACTATAATAGAATTTCAGAAAACGATGATCAAATTTTTGAAACTATGAAAGAATTACAGAAATATTTGAGCGAATCTTAAAAACTATGATATATAATCTCAGTAAAAATGATGTTAGAATTTCAGAAAATTATGATAGATCGTCAGAAAACTATGATATAATCTCAAAAAAAACTATGTTAGACTCGAATCTTAGATCTAAGTACTAAGAACCTATGATTTTGTCCTAATCTGGAGTATACTAAACTGTACTGGAGTCCTAAATCTGAATTATTAGGAACCTATGATTTTGTCCTAATCTGGAGTATACTAAACTGTACTGGNATTCAAATTTGAACCAACATTAGGCAGTTCAAATTCATTAAACTCAGTTCTAGAAGCAAGAAGTTTTGTGTTGTAAATCTTGGATCTTCACTTTATGCAGATCTATGATATATTTTAATTCCTCTTCGTTCTGATGATGGTTATACACTACAGGGATATCTTTACGCAAGGAATCAAGCAATGATGCCTGGATAGAACAGTAAACGATGAATTCATAATTTACTTTGATTTTATTCTATACCCTCCCTTTACTAATATATTGTGTTAAGGAATGTTTGGTGGAGTTGGTCAGCGTAGATTCCACGCCTTGTTGGCCACGCCCCTTTTCCTCATGTCCTGCCTTTCTAACTTTTACTTCTTCGCTGGCAAGCAGGTTGAGTAATTCAGATTCATTACAGTGGTCAAATATGCTCTTGAATAATTTTAATCACTTTAAATTTGAGAAGAATTATAAAATAAATAAATCCTTTTTTACGACTTGTTCCTACATTTTGAAGTAAAATATCTGCAATGAATAAATTCAGAGAAATTCCTGTTTTCTTTATAATCGGGATTCAATAAATAAATATCTAATTAATATTGAGGCAAAATTTTAAACCTTCACTTCTGGAGTCATTTGAGTTCCCATAAAAAATTGAGTTTGAGGTTGGCAATGTATTTAACAATATCTCTTTATAGTATAGCAATATATTTAACAATATCTCTATATAGGTTAGCAATGTATTCAACAATATCTCTTTATAGGTTAGCAATGCATTTAACAATATCTCTTTATAGGTTAGCAATGTATTTAAAAATATCTCTTTATAGGTTAGCAATGTATTTAACAATATCTCTATATAGGTTGGCAATGTATATAAAAATATCTCTATATAGGTTGGCAATGTATTTAACAATATCTCTGTATACTATATAGGTTGGCAATGTATTTAACAATATCTCTACATAGGTTGGCAATGTATTTAACAATATCTCTACATAGGTTGGCAATGTATTTAACAATATCTCTATATAGGTTGGCAATGTATTTAACAATATCTCTATATAGGTTGGCAATGTATTTAACAATATCTCTATATAGGTTAGCAATGTATTTAACAATATCTCTATATAGGTTAGCAATGTATTTAACAATATCTCTATATAGGTTAGCAATGTGTTTAACAATATCTCTATATAGGTTGGCAATGTATTTGTTGAGCGTGTACTGTTTGACTCCTGGCCTAAGGGGTTTCCCACTCTCATCTTCTTTCTCTACGCTGGTTCACACTTCTCAATAGAGGTTTAAATTTACTAAATTACTATTAAACCATCAAAGGGTTCTTTATTTTAACGAAACAGTTTTTTTAAAAAGAAGTTACTTTTCTGTGTGTCATTTTTTAAACAATAAAGTTAAATAATTAGAAAAAAATAATGCTCGAAAACAAACAAATCTATCTTGTTAAAAATGTAATTTGTTTTTAGTTTTAAGTTTTTGTTTTTTTATTCTCGGTTTAAAGATAAAACAATTCTACTGTTCTAAACTAAATAAATGAGTTTTTTTTGAAAAGAAAAAAAATCAACAATCAACTTGGAGTTAAGTTTAAACTTATTTTGTTATGTAAAACTTTAGTAAAAAGGATGCCCTAAATCTTAGATTGCAAGTTCATTAGTATTTTGGTAAAATTAAACTTTTTTAGAGATTAAATAATTCTACCAGCTTAAAAGGCAAATAAGTTTGTGTATAGAAAATACAAGTTCTTTCAATATTCTGAAAACATTGTTCTTTTTATCATACAATATTGGACGCTCTGTATTTTATATTTTAAAAGTTTTTTTTCAGATAAAAAACATCGAACTGAGAAAGGAGATTGCCAAGTTAAAACAAGATTAAAGGGACTGTAGACGTAAAACAAGATTAAAGAGACTGTAGACGTAAAACAAGATTAAAGAGACTGAAGACGTAAAACAAGATTAAAGGGACCGTACACATGATACAAGATTTAAGAGACTGTACACATAATACAAGATTAAAGGGACTGTACACATAATACAAGATTAAAGGGACTGAACACCTAAATCAAGATTAAAGGGACTGTACATGTAATACAAGATTAAAGGGACTGTACACATAATACAAGATTAAAGGGACTGCACACATAATACAAGATTAAAGGGACCGTACACATAATACAAGATTAAAGGGACTGTACACATAATACAAGACTATAGGGACTGTACACGTAAAACAAGATTAAAGGGACTGTACACATAATACAAGATTAAAGGGACTGTACACGTAAAACAAGATTAAAGGGAATGCACATGTAAAATAAGATGAAAGGCACTGTAAACGTTATTTCAAGTAAACCTACATTTATAGAGTAGTAAGTCCTACTTCCAACGGAACCCATTAAGCTTGTCCGATTGTAAATTAATGAGATGTCCATACCGTTCTCCTTGAAAATAAATTTGTATTTTTGGTAAGTGGTGTATTCTTCAGAAACAACGGACTAGATTCTATAATATTGACGATTTAACTTGAACAACATTAATCAGATAAAGATGTTAGGGGTACCTTTGTGAATCGTGGTAAATGAAGGATTTCTTGAAATACGACAGCTGCCCCTCTGTACAAAAAAAAACTAAGATCTGTATTTGAAAGAGTTTAAAAACTGTTCTTAGAGAAAAGAAAATTTTCCTGAGATTTATAAAGTTGAAACCTTTGAATGTGATGTATCGTTTCGCATTAATCTAAATATGCGATTTTTTTTCAACTATGAGAACCAGAATCAGAGGAATTCTTGGGTAATGTAACATCGTCTATACGCAACATTACCTCTACTCAACTCCTGCCATACTACAGTTTATTTTGTATTAATTGGGGGTTCGGTTAAAACCATTTTTGGGTCTAGTCTGTGACTTAAGGGCCGAGCGCTGCAGCCACATGTAAAACCATATGAGAGTAGGTCGGAAGTTAGTAAAGCGGATGTACGTAGGTCGAAAGACACTATCTAATTCTTGACGATTTGTTAAAGTTTTAATCCTAAAATATCGCCAAAGATTTTGTTTTGTAATTTAAAACTGAGCTCTTTCTATAAAATATGGTCAATCTTTAGATATACATTGTACAGGGCAACCCAGAAAGGATGAGACTTCAGAGACGACTTTACGGAGTGTATCCTTTCCAACTCGTCTGTTTTAAGGTCGTCATTAAAGACTCTTTCTTTGCGGGAAACCCTGTTTATTAAAGGGACTGTAAATGAAAAATGAAAGGGCTATAGGCTGAAACCTTTTGTCACTTGATACAGACGGAGACACGTGACAATGATACTGCAATGCCATTGGGGGGAGTTCTGGTCACTTGATACGGACGTATCAATTTTATCCATTAAAAGTGAGAAACTATTAAATTCTAATAATCATAGGGGCAAACTTAAGTTTTTCCAGACTCCTCTGGGATATCGTCGTTTTCAGATTGGTCGCTGAATATGAACCGTTTAAAACTTAGAATCTTAAACCAAATCTTTTATAAGTTTTGGTATAATTTTGACACAGGTTTATATCAATTTCAATATAGGTCTCAATCAACTCATGAAGTTCTTAGGTTTGAGTCTATACCCCCTTTCATATTTCCTTTGCACTCCCTTTAAGTAGAGTAAATTTTTAAATCTTTGACGACATTTCTTTAGAAGAACAACTTGACGACATTATTTAACAGGTTTTGGGTTGTCACTGTATGTTTCATTTTTTTCATTTTTTTCATTTAAGTATTAGATCTGTAATATAGAAATAAGTTTTAAATTTCTGGACAGAATGATTTTATTAATATTAATATCATTATTATATAATTATACTTATTTTGGAATTATTGTTTTGTTATATGTTTAAATCAGATGTTTATATATTTTTACTTTTTAATGTATTTTTTACCATTTGAAATACTTCAATATACTGGATACATTGCTTATTTTTTGAAATATTTTATAGTTGTTGTTTTTAATGCATTTAAACTTTAATTTAAATTGTTTAATTCGTTCAGCCACAATTTAAAGAAATAAAAACTTCCCTAAAATGGATTAATTTCTTGGTGGCATTATTGTACTCTTGAATATATTTTAATTTTGTCGTCTTTTGGTCTTCACTAAAGAGAAAAGACTAAGAACACAGATCTGAAGAGAACAGTGCGTCCTGAGAATAGGGTTTCCAGTCTCAATATGAGCACATCTTGACCTGGACATATTAGAATGTCAAAAAATATTTTTCCGGTGTCTCTGACGTTTAGAATATCAGAAGAATAATACAAATTCAATAAACCAATAATCGCGTCCCATATTAAATAATGATTAGGCCCAATTACGCAGATAATACTCGGAAACCCTAGTATTTTCTACATGCTAATCTATTATTGATATATAATTTTTTTAATGATTCGTTCTTTTTACATTTTCTGATTAGTCCCGGAAAGCACTATTAAAACGATCCATTATGATGTGGGTGTATAGCAATTGTTATGCATTTTCTCAGAAGGCACAGTGTTTCTAGAGACATACCAGCGGGGAGTTTGCAACGTTTGTTCCCGTTGAGCCGTTAAACCATTCCGTAAAAAAATTAATTAATTCGTACATAACTTATGAAAGTCCAGTACACTACCATATTAAATGGATAGATCGACCTATAAGTATTCTTCATCATTGGTCCGTAGGCGGGATACTACTATACATTCACTCACAGTTTCCTAATTTGAATGAAGAAGCTGGCAAATTACGTTTCAAAAAATTGCTAAGAAATTGCCTCGTTTTTAACTAGCTTTTAAAAATTACCTAAAATGATCATTCTTAAGTTTGTTGGTTGAATACCTAGTATACAAATAGGATTACATTAGCTGTGAAACGTTATAAATAAAATTAAGAATAAATTTTTATCAGGAAAAATCATTTAAAAAAGATTTTACAAATTCCAAGGATTTAAATTTTGTGAAGTAGCCCAGTAAGCACATCCAACGGGTTTCCTGAATTCAAATTTGAAATCAATTGGAAAAATTTCCTCCTAAAAAGGGAGTATTGGTTCCATTACTATGAACGCGCTAGATAGTGTTTCTAGCAAGATCAATTCGTGGGTCCAGTGCTCCCTTGAGCACTGGACCCACAGGATCCAGTAAAATTTGACATAAAAGAATGGTATGCCACTGTATTTTGATCGGAAAACACATTGAATGTTATCAATGTTCTGTTTAAAAATTAATTGATTGTCAATTTGAACGGAAGACTACATTTGAGAGTAAAATTATTTTCCGTTTTGTCCCATGATTACTGAGAATCAAACGCGCAATTTACTGAGTGCAATGCAAGTGTCGTAAGATTACTCTATAAAACTGATAAAGGCGTATTCAGGGAAGTTATTCGCTAAGCCCCCCTCCCCCCTGGGGCAGTGAATGAGAGCTGCGCCCCTCCCTGGAAAAATGTTAACCCCCCGCTTGACAAACTCCTGAATTGATATCTATTAGATGTTCAGATCTAATAATCTGAAGGTTCAATCTGTAAACTGAATCAATCAAAATAATTTCTAACTAATCAAAATGTTTATTAAGGTTGATCTTATGTACAAATATTACACATTATTACATATAAAGTATACATTATAACAATGTGTACATACATTGTACACACCTGCTCCGGACTGCAAATATTATAAAAACCAGAAAATGTTGCATCAGCATTAATTAAATTAGTAAAAGACTATATTTTCAAATGTGACGACGTGTCCGATTAACAACGGTACTCTCTAAGGAAATGTCAACGTCTTCATCTAAAAACTTGCTGAATTCCGATAATTTACTTAAAAATCTCTGCAGCATAAATCTTTTTAATGAAACAACAGTTTTTGGATCAAAATATTAAGTACCAGAGTTAGTTAATTGGACATGCTACTGCAATTATTTAAAATATTTGCTTATTTTGAACATTTAGTGAGAAAGCATAAAACGATTTACAAGAAATTTTAGTTATAGCCTTTAACCCCACCAACAATGCCAAACCTTCTATATAAACTGATTCTGTTGTGGAATTATTCTTTTATAACCCATTTCTAGATATTTTCTTTAAATAAAATTTTACTAATGCTGTGCCGTGGTGTAAAATATGTCCAGTCCAAAATTATCATATTAATATTTTAAAAATAATTAATCATTATTATTATTTGAAGTACATTCAACCCCACTTCCAACACTGGTTTATATTAAAAATAGAATTATAAAATCTGATTTTTTACAAAAGAAAAAGGATCCTTACTCAATGAAAAGCCTTGCACAAAGAGGTTTTTTCAATTTTAATCAAAAATTTTATTTTCCAAAAAACTTAAAATTTCCTTATTTTTTGTACGGGGGGCCCAACTTCTTCGCAAACATTTAACTATCAGTTTTTGAACAAATACAAGCTAAATAAAGCATTATTAAGAACTTTTTTTACTTGGGATGTATATAATCTTTTAACCCTCATTGAAAATATTATTCTAGACATAAGCTTAAATAGAATCGCAAAACTCAAGAAAATCTGGTTTTGAGTAATAGGAAAATTTATAACATCTAGAGGAGAGGAAGAGAAAACTAATTATTTCTTGATTCGAAAAAAAGACAAACAATTTAAAGATAAACCTTGTTGTGCGGTAACAGATAAAAATGGAGAAAAATTAAAAAGCAACAGAAAGCTTGATATCCGGGACAATTTTGGTCTTAACATAAATTATAAAAATGCAACAATAGAGGAGTCGGTTCATTTTTTCCAATTCACGCTAGAATCTATTAATCAGTAATAATGTAATTGTTATCGAAATAACATTATTTCTTAGATCGGGGAACAGATCCTAAAATAATGCTTGATAAACTATCTGAAAATATATATTTCACTGATTTGAACTATTTTAGGATATCATGGGACAGTTAACATGAATTTTAATTTTAGGTAATTTTTCATCTTAAAGAGACTGATGAAGAGACCCCCCTGATTAAAAAGTTCCATAATTTACACTGTTACGCTTAAACCTTTAAATGAACAAAAATGATGGAGATATCTTCGTTTTTCGGTTTCTCTATGTAGTGACTTGCGAATTTCTGCAACAGAAAGACGGAAGGATATTGACAGAATTTATACTTTTCAAGATGCTTAGATAAGGTTTAAAGAGCACCAATGTGACTCGGGTATGCAATTTCTTAATTTGAGGGTCACCAAAGATAGTGTTCAGTTCTTTCAACCTTAAATGTAAGATAATATCCCATAATTGCGGAAGGGGAGGGAGGGGGGGGGAGGACATTACAACATAGGCTTATACAATCTGTAGAAATGCAGGAAGTATATCAACTACTGCATAGTGTGTATACATATTGTTTAACTATTGTTTATAAAATGATGCATCTTTGCCTCTTCTTTATCTTTGGAACAGGGCACAGAACAGCTCTAAAAATAATAAAGAAAGTAAATACATATTCAATAGAGGTTTTACACAATTTTAGTTTACAACAAAAAGCTTCTTTTCACTTGGGTCAGGTTTTCTGATTCTAATAAATCAATGACCTGTAAATCTATTTATAATTGATCAAAATTTACTAATCCCTACGGCCTACATCTTTGCAACCAAACTTCGATATTTCAAACTTGGATAATTTGATCTATAAAATTTCTAGTTTGAAATATCTAAGTATATGTCATCGGGTTGCAAAGATATATGCAACATAAAATGAGAGTTTGTGGCAAAGACATTCAGTGTAAAGTTTGGAACATATGCACGTTTTGGAACTTTCTTCCCCTGAATTAATCTTCTCTTAAATTTCAAGAATTTTCTACGTGAGAAGGATGAAGAAAGGCCTGTAAGTCGAAGGTTACCTTATAGCCTCGTCGAATACAGTTTTTAGTCCCTTTTGCGTCAATGCAGAGCATTCCATGTACTTTACTGCACCTACATCCTTAGCCATCGCCAAGCCCTGAAAATACGGGGAATTAATACTGTAACTAAAGCGTGTGTTCGCAAAATTATGAAAAGGGTCGAATTTAACTATTATCAGCTTGGGTAGAACTTTAAACATTAAAGGATTGTCTGAGTACTAGTATATATATATATATATATATGTATATATAGAAGGCGTTTAAGAATCTACAATCAGTCCTGTCGATACCACCTTGCGGGGCTCACGTCAATACAATTGGCAATGTTTTAGTTTTTATCATTTACAATTAAATACAATTAAATACAATTAAATAGAGTCTTTTGTTTAGTTTAGTATGCCAATCTTTTAGTATACTCATAATGATATTATGTCGGGAAAATACTACGTCAAAGGGAAGTTTCTTTCTAGAAAAAGAAGTTGCGGAATGATAAACCGCTTGTTTTTTTTTTATTTCATTATCCAAATCACTTGAATATTTTAACATACCGTCATTGTGAAATGAAAGGTCGGTTGTTTGTGTCAAATATCGGATAGTAAATATTTATTTTGTTCATGTTCGACTTTTTAAAATGTTTAAATCTCTTTTTTAAACAGACATACCCCCCGCTCCCCCAATTTCCGTAAACGTTCGTTATTTAATTAGTTTGTTTTGAAACTTCCTGACAGAAATAAATATCATGGAGTTTAATAATCGTCTTTAAACATTCTGTAAAATGTGAAAGTGAAATTTTCTTTTCTACATAAATCATTATCTGAGTTAGTTTCCCTTTTCTTCATTTGGCAACCATTTTCTTGTTTGCATTTATTATGCAGTTTTTTGTTCGTTTATTTTCTTGCGATTTTTTACATTTCTAAATATTGATTTTGATGGTTATTATTTTTCGTTAGAACTGATAAAGGCCAACCCAGACCGAAATATATATAATTAAAAATCTCATAAGAATTAATGGTAATTTTTGTTTATAAATGGAAATTCATCTTTCGAAAAAACGCCAATTTTTTTTTTACTGTGAGGGTTGGAGCGTAATCAAAACCGAATTTTAAAATATTATTTATTTGCTTGTTGGCTCGTAATTGTTTCTTACCCCAGATAATTTTACAATCACCCTTTAAACCTGAAATACCAACCTGAGGATATGTAATCGGAGCTAATCTCTTCTCCTTCAGTTTATCAATAGTTTCCTTGTCCTCCCTTAGATCTAGTTTAGTTCCGACCAGGATAATTGGAACTCCAGGACAATGATGCCGAACCTAGGATAGATAATAGTTTAGTTCCAAACAGGATAATTGGAACCCCAGGACAGTGATGCCGAACCTAGGATAGATAATAGTTTAGTTCCAACCAGGATAATTGGAACCCCAGGACAATGATGCCGAACCTAGGATAGATAATAGTTTAGTTATAACCCAGGATAATTGGAACCCCAGGACAGTGATGCCGAACCTAGGATAGATAATAGTTTAGTTCCAACCCAGGATAATAGGAACCCCAGGACAATGATGCCGAACCTAGAATAGATAATAGTTTAGTTCCAACCCAGGATAATAGGAACCTAGGATAGATAATAGAATAGTTCCAACCCAGGATAAAAGAACCTAGGATAGATAATAGCTTAGTTCTAACCCAGGATAATAAGAACCTAGGATAGATAATAGCTTAGTTCCAACCCAGGATAATAGGAACCTTGGATAGATAATAGCTTAGTTCCAACCCAAGATAATAGGAACCTATAGGAGAGAAAATAGTTCAGTTCCAACCCAGGATAATAGGTACACTAAAATCCTACAAAAGAAAAAAATATTTTTTTAAAGATAATATATCCGCCCAGTAAAAGAAAGGATCCAGATTTCCATTCACAATAATTCCACTGGCAATGCCGGTGTCATGCATGGAGCGGACCCTTGCATGGAGCGGACTCCCCCTAAAGTTTTCACCATTTCAACACAATGTTAGTCATAAAAAGCAATGTTATGGCAGTTTCTGATAATTATTAATTTATTTTGATTTGAAAAACACATTAAAAATGATCTATGCCTTGAGTAAATATGAATTGTTTGATGATTTGAAAGGAAGACGACATTCAAGATGAAATAATCTTTTTTCTCTTTACCCCATCTAAAATACATTTAAGAACTAAATGCGTATTTAATATTTGTCAACTAATAGTTTTTAATGTTTAAACATTGCTTTTTATGTCAAACATTATGTTAAAATGTTAAAACTTTAGGAGTCGAGTCCGCTCCATGGAGGACAAGAGAACCAGACATGGTACCCCACACCGCCAGGTCCCTTCAGAATGATAATTGAGTTGAGACTAACCTCAGGATACCATTTAGCTCTCACGTTCTCAAAACTAGCAGGGTTTACCAGGGAGAAACAGATAAGGAACACATCCTAGAGATCACAGGTCATAGGGTATAGATTACTTTATTAAGTACAGATTTAAGGTATTCACAAGTACAATTTGAATTTTTCCATTAGATAAAGTTCAGATTTAAAGTGTTTATAAAGTACAGATTAAACTAGTGTTCATAGAGAACAAATTAGAGGTCAGTGTACAGATCAAAGTGGTGTTCATAGAGAACAAATTAGAGGTCAGAGTACATATTAAACTGGTGTTCATAGAGAACAAATTAGAGGTCAGAGTACAGATTAAACTGGTGTTCATAGAGAACAAATTAGAGGTCAGTGTACAGATTAAACTGGTGTTCATAGAGAACAAATTAGAGGTCAGAGTACTGATTAAACTGGTGTTCATAGAGAACAAATTAGAGGTCAGAGTACAGATTAAACTGGTGTTCATAGAGAACAAATTAGAGGTCAGAGTACAGATTAAACTGGTCTTCATAACGAACAAATTAGAGGTCAGAATACAGATTAAACTGTAGTTCATAGAGAACAAATTAGAGGTCAGAGTACAGACTAAACTAGTGTTCATACCGAACAAATTAGAGGTCAGTGTATAGATTAAACTGGTATTCATACCGAACAAATTAGAGGTCAGAGTACAGATTAAACTGGTGTTCATAGAGAACAAATTAGAGGGAGTACAGATTAAACTGGTGCTCATAGAGAACAAATTAGAGGTCAGTGTACAGATTAAACTGATGTTCATACCGAACAAATTAGAGGTCAGAGTACAGATTAAGGTTAGATAATGATAAATTGTGTCATGAAGTACAAATTAAAGGTTTTCATATGATAAAGTTTAGATTAAAAGGTACAGATTTAAAGTGTTCGTAGAGGACTACTTAGAGATGTCATAAAGTACAGATTTAAGGTGTTAATATTTAGATTTAAAGGTCATAGAGTACAGGTTAAGGATATAAAGTGATCATAATGACAGATTAGAGGTCATATATAATACATATGTAGAGGACCTTAAAGAAGATTAATGAAAGCTCATAATTACAAAAATTTGTCACAAATATATTCATATTTTTGTAAAAATTTAAAATCCACGAAAAAAATTGTAAATCCGCAATTTTTTGTTTTGTTTTATCGAAGAGAAAATTCTGAAAGATTGAGCAACACTCAACAGGTGAAGTAGATAGTTTAGTGTATCAAATTTAAACTGACCGTCTGCGGGTAGGAGAGAGGTCTAAGCCGGTCATAATCTTCCTGCCCGGCCGTATCCCATAGTCCAAGGTTTATAGGCCGACCATCAACCTGAAAGTTTTAAAAAAATTTAATTAAAATTTAAAAATTCGTTTTTTTCCAATTTTCCGAACTCAGAATAAAAACGAGATGAAAAAAGTTTTTTTTTCAATATCTTAAAGCGTTAAAAAATTTTGTGCTCTGGGAAGGTATGATTTAAAGGGGGGGGGGAAGAAAAATGATTTTTCGAGAAAATATTATCCCCTGACCTAATCCGTAGAACCACAATAAGAAGTTAATAGTTCGATCCAAAAGGCTTAATCCAATTTTTTTCTATAAATTGTAGAGGAAGTAATCCCGAACGAGGATTATATAAAATAAAAATATCCGTTTGAGTAAATTCATCAAATTTGTGCCTTAACTTTTTCCCCCAATTTTTTTTTCTTAACATTAATAAGAACTGCTAATTTACACTTAATTTTTTCCACCCCCCCCCCCCTTTAAAATTAAGGCAACATTTAAAATTGTAAAAACTTGATAATTAAACTTGATTAAGACCTCAGACTGTATACACGACCAAATTCATGAGTCATCCATATATCTCTTTATATTTTCCTAGTTTCGAATTACAGGATTCATTTAATATTTAGTAAATCAATTATTTAACTATAAGAATTTACAATGTGAAGGGGCATGATAAACTCTTATCAGGGGTGTATATTTTCCCGAAAAATAGTTTTTCTTACCCCCCCCCCCCTGAATAATATGCTTGCGAAATATCTTTTATAGGGTTTTATTCGCTGAATTGGGAAGATGAATGATTTTGGGGGATATCAAATATTTTTTGGGTGAGAAAGAAGTTTAAAAACAATAACAAAAAGTTGCCATTTGATGTTCAATATAACCTAACCATGAAGAATATATTTCAATATAACCTAACCATGAAGAATATATTTCAATATAACCTAACCATGAAGAATATATTTCAATATAACCTAACCATGAAAAATATGATCCTAGGTTAAAAAATGAGAAAGTTCTCACCATAACATTTGCAGAGTAGTTGTCGAACACTGTTGGTATATACTCTCCAGGAAATGCATTGGTAGTGTAACTGATCAACAAACAAGTTTTACCTAAAACAAACAAACGTAAATAAACGTATGTAAATAAGCTAGGCTTTCAGTGCGCTTTGCACCGATATTCTATTTTAATTGTGGCTCTATATAATAATGTATATCTATGAGCATTTTCCCTTTGTAAAATTTTAAAAAATAAAAAACAAATAAATTTCGCGGAATTATTATTTTTTACCCGTGGAATTTTAAACTTACGTAAAAATATAAATTTTTGGAGACAAATGTTTGGATTTTTGGGCATCTTATACAGATAAATAAATATTGCCTCAACATCAGTTAGTTTGTTTATTTACAATACATATGGCAAAAGATTTAACTGATCGGGTCTATATTTTCATTCATTTCTTAAGGAAAAGTCACTGGCTTTAAGAATCAGAAAAGCTCCCAAAAATCTGCAAGATTTGTTTATTCCATGATTGTTATAGTTTTTATGAGCTATAATTGGAACAATCTTAAATATTCGCTATTATAATCTAAAATCATTACAAGACTTTTCAGAGGTTTCGGGGTAATTTCCTCTAGGACAGACCCGGTTTCGGTGTTCCAATCTCTGATAAAAAGGTTAATTTGACTAATTAGAATTTCCGAATCAAGCTCAGAAAAATTCCGTGGTTTAACCAAGTTCTCAAATCTAAATTTGAGACAAATCAGTCAAAGAGCATTTAAAATTGTATCGGTCAATATGACATAGAAACACAGATTACTTCTTACACTATTTAGAAATTCTAGTAGATCAGTAAACAAAACATGTAATTCGATTATTCTTTCAATTAAATAAAGCGTGAATTTGTCTTTGAGTTATATTATTCTATTACAATAAAACTTTAATTACCTACAGCTCCGTCCCCCACTACAACGCATTTAATTGCTTGCATTTTCTTCTTATTCTAATCCATCGATATCAAATCTGAAATAATAAAATTAATTTAATTCTAATCCACCGATATCAAATCTGAAAAAAAATAAAATTAATTTTAACTGTTAAACACTTTCTAATTTATGCAATTGCAGGCTGATGACAATAGATAGTTTTGAATATCGTGGAAATATGTCTGTTTAAACAGTGTAAAATTTTCATCAAACAAGCTAGTAGCCCCCACCCAAACTATTTTTCAAGATAACCTGAAAATATTTGGTTTGGAAAAATAAGTTTTCGGCCCAAAACCTGAAGTATCGATACCAACTTTCTTTTATAAAAGGTCGTCTTTATAAAAATCAATTATTAAGAGAGGGGGGAGGGTGGAGTATTTTTCGACCTACGCAAATCCGCTATACTACGCATCCGACCTACTAGAACGTGGTTTTACAACTGCTACATAGACTTGTGGTCGCAGCGCCCGGCTCCCTAGCCGGTATATTCCTAGAGAACGATTTTTGGACCCCCCCCCGGGGCCCCCCCCTCCTATCAATTTTGTACATGGCTCTGACAGGAAGTGTCTTAACTTATCCTAACCTGTGGCCGCAGCGCTCGGCCCCCTAGCCTGTCCTAGCCGCAGCGCTCGGCCCAGAAAGTGTCTTAACTAACCTAACCCGTGGCCGCAGCGCTCGGCCCCCTAGCCCATCCTAGCCGCAGCGCTCGGCCNGATCCAATATTTTTCAGATTAGAACTCCTAAATCTTGATGATACATATAAACTAGGTGTTCTATCTTTTATGCATAAATACTTTTATGAAAACCTTCCAGCTTCCTTCCAGGATATGTTTAATTCTTTAGCTGAACCAAATAGAACAAAATCATATAAACTTGAGCGAGTTCTCTTTAAAACCCTAGAAAGTTTTCCCTCTGCCTTATTTCCAAAAATATGGAATTCTATTGAATTAGAGCTTAAAGAAACTAAATCTGCAAAATCGTTCAAAAGAAAAGTCGCCAAGATCTATTTAGATAGTTATGCAAATTATATCTGTAAAAAAAAATGTGTATCATGTGGATAAACTTAGTCTTTACTATCTTCTTCACCCTGTAGTTCATAAACATGATTCTAATAACTTATGTTACCCTCTGTTCCAACCCTTACGCTGAGTATCCTCCCTTTTCTTTATACTCCCTCACCTCCTCCTTACCTTTTACCTGATTTATTATCATTCTTATGTTTAAAATGTACAATGTACATTGTTTTTATCTGCAATTCTCATTCGTTTATAGTGGGCCAACCAATTAAAACAACCTACTCTGGTTAGGCGGGTCCAAACTACATAGTAAATTGTGATTTTTTTATTTGTATTATCTCGTGCTTTGTAGTTGAATAAAAATATGAAATATGACCCCCCTAGCCTGTCCTAGCCGCAGCGCTCGGCCCAGAAATTGTCTTAACCTAACCCTCAAATAATACAAAAATAAACAGCTGGCGTAGGTCCGATATTGCAGTAGGTCGGAAGTTTAGTAGGGGGAATATTGCGTATAGACGATGTATCATTACCATGTCTCCTATATTGGTCGTCAAATGTACGGACAAATTTCTATCAGATAAGAATTTAGCACGAGACATCTAGCGGCCAACATTTCGTCCCCCAAGTACGTGAACTACACGACCACTTTCTGTGGAGATAACGAGCTCTGGTCAGATGTTTCATTAAATGTAGCGTCGACGAATGCTTTCCAATAAAAATTTCTTAAATTGTTTAACTTTTCAATCTTGTCCTATTCCATTTCATACAGTTTTAAAACATACAGGGTAACCCACAGTCCGTAAAGAAGACTTGAAAAGTTGAAACTTTTAATAAATACTGATCTCAAGGTTAGGTTAAGTCTTGCGGCTCGGAGAAGTTAAGGTTAAGTCTTGCGGCTCGGAAAAGTTAAGGTTAAGTCTTGCGGCTCGGAAAAGTCACAATTTAAAAGTCACGATTATGAGGAATGAGGATAAGGGCAGTATTAATTTCGTAGTCGTCTATGAAATCTCATTCCTATTAATCATTCGATAAAAAAATGAATAAAATTACTAACAATTTTAACAAAGAAGCAAGATAAATTCTCAATGGTAAAATTGATGAAAATTAAAACAAGAATGTTAATAGATAAGAAAAAAATATCCTAAGGTCCCCCCCCCCAACTAAAATTGCCCCTGCTATCTCTAAAAAAATACAGCTTAGCTCCGAAGGTTATATTTATAAGTTTATAATTTCTACAACTTAAACAATTCGTCAAAACTTCAAGATTTGAAATTTGAAATAAAATAAAATTTTTCTTAACAAGCTTTGATAAAAGTAGATGTGTGTTTTTACTTACTTACGCTATAAAAAATGATTTGTTATCAGTTATTAACTATCTTGAATGTTTAATAAATAACGATTGAAATACATGTTTCTGAATATTTTTCTGTAAACGCAGTGTAAGAATCTTAAATTGTTTCAAGAAAACTCTAATATAACAATTACACATATCTATAATCTAGTATTCACGGTTCACAATGGATAAATTAGCATTTAGTCAATTCATATTAAACAGCATTCTCTGTACATAACTCATTTCTTTCTCACTAGCGTTTGTGTTGTACAGTTGTACAGAAGTAGCGTAGTAGTTGTACAATTGTACAGTAATAGCTTTGTAGTTGAACAATTGTACACAATAAATACATGGTCAAGGGTCTAGGCATTCATCTAGGCGTGTACACTGTACAGTTAGAAAAGTGTACAACATTATATTGATTTAATCAATCGGATCACTTTTCACAGGTTTATTTCACGTGCTTTTCTGACCTCAGCTTTAGAGTTTCAACTCGTTGGCTATCTTTGACGCTATATTCTTAAACCCAATGGAAGTGCCTGAAAAAAAATAAATGAAATGGGTCTTGGAGGAAAGAAAATTTCAACGCTTTAAGATTGTAACAACTTATGGATGCGATAATCCTGAACTCGATTTAAAATATTAAATTTTAATTTGGTGGGATTAATCCATAGAACCATCTTACATGGATTAGCGGTTTTGAGAGGATTGTAACTAAGTTTCAATCTTTGATTTAAAGTAAAAATTAGATGTGAATCACTGTTTAAAAAAATAAGAAAAATCATTACAAGTCAAACTGTATTTTGTATTGGTCAGAAAAAAAGGAAAAATTAAAAAAAATTAACCTGAGATACGCTTAAATCGGACACCGTTAAGAGAGAGCCGTGGGAGTTTACAAACCTATAATATTTATAATTTATAATTTATAAATTATATATATATATATATATATTTTTTTTTAAAAATTATTTATATGTATAAATATAGAAATGATTAAACAGAAGTGATATAAATGTGAGAAAAAAAGAGGGGAAAAAAAGAAATATATAAAAATGTGATTTAATTTGTAAACGAAAATTTCTATTTATTTATTTTTATTAAATACAATCCAAAAAAATCTAAATTTTTATAGAAGGGAAGGCGACCTTCTATTTTCTAGAAAATCAACAAGCAATCAAATACAGATCTGTCCTGTCCTGTCCTGTCCTGTCCTGTCCTGTCCTGTCCTGTCCTGTCCTGTCCTGTACCTCTATTTCCCACTGAACCAGGCTGTCTGTGTTAGGATCCCCATGAACACAGAGTAACAGGAACCGCTCGCGTTGCTCGTAATCACAATTATTGGCGTCCAACACCTTGAAAACAATTTATATCAAAACTGCGGGAACGTTCTGTTTCTAATCACAAAAATATTTGTCTGTCCAAAAACAAAATTATTTGGTAGGTGTTAATAGAGGTATAAATAAATATATTTTTTAAACATATATACATATACAGTGTCCTAATAAACATGGGAATTCAGTGACGACTTCATAAACACAATTATTTCAGTATTCCAGCTTAAAGGGAGTGACCGGCTATGTAAGGTAGTTGAACTGAGTATGCAGTGTTGTGGAATACTTCTTTCGGATTCATTTGAGACATATTAAACCTTTTAAAGATCTGTAAATCCTGAGTTTGAGCACAAATTCGACGTTCAAAACTCCTTCTTTGGGGTGGATACTTTTTCAGAATTAGTTTTTTTAACTATTAAATAACGACAACGAAAACTTAAGTAAAAATTACACAGTGATCTAATTAGATGGTTAGGAACATATTTCTCAAAAGAAATTTGTCAATAAATCAATGCTAAAATCGATTATTTCGTTTTCATTATTATATTGAATTTCTTATCTTCTCTGAATTTATTCGCAATTTCTTCAAATTCTTCAAATGTCGTCTTTTCAATAATTATTCTAGAAAATCTGCGGAAATCTTTGTAAATAATGAGAAACCAGAATAATGAGAAAATAGAAACTAATAATTAAACAAGATTACTTATTCTCGATGATAAGATTAATTTTTATTTTCTCAAAATGTTCCTATAAATGACGTCTGTAGTTTATTGTAGAACTTTTTTTACATTTTATGTCGTCGTTATTTAATAATTTAAAAAAACTAATTCTGAAAACATATCCACCTCCAAAGTAGGAGTTTTGAAAGTCAAATTTGCGGTCAAACTCAGGATTCACAGAATTTTAAAAAGTTTAATATGTCTCAAATGAATCCGAAAGAAGTATTCCACAACACTGCATACTCACTACTCAGTTCAACTACCTTACATACCGGTCACTCCCTTTAAACATCTAATATCGAGGTTTTCAAAATGTGGTCTACCATTTCTGTATCTTCAAGATTGACGGAGATTTGCAAAATTTGTACAAATTTCAATTTATGTAATAAATCAAAATTGTCTTACTTTCTTTGCCAAGCATTGAATATCTGAAATCAAAGACGACTTTTTTATAATGTTATCAAATATAATTTCTATCTGAACGGATAATATGATGATGATAATAATAATCGCAGTCAATCCTTATCTTGTAAGGAATATGCTTGAGCTCCTCCCTCGCATTCCAGTTCTAATGGACTAACTCAGTGAAGAGCTGATTGTAAATTTATCAAGCCAATAGTTGTTTGCCAAGGGGCCTTGCCCTTTTGTATACCCAACAGATTCCTAGTGGTCCAAATAGTTCAGTGGATAAGGGCCAGGGAGTAAGGAATAGAAGGGAAATATAACTGACGCGGTTCGCCTTACCATATGATTATACATGCTTTGCATACGGGTACTCCATTTGTATAAGAAATATTCAGAATAGGTTATTGTAAACGCGGTAATTGTACATCAGACAAATATTTCTTATTCAAAAGAAGTGCCGTCTGCAAAACATGTATAATCATATGGTGGGGCGAACCGCGTCATTTATATCTCCCTTCTATTCCTTACTCCCTGATAAGGGCTGACTGCGATACAGTAAGTTTGAAATACAGGTTACAAAAATCTAAATTTAATTTATCTTGAAAGAATTGGTACCTTCTTAATTTCGGCCATTATTTCGTTAGGATCCCTAGAAGAAGTCGTCTTCATACTCCAAGTAAACCTAGATCAATCGTTTTGAGTTCTGTTAAATATTTAAAATAATATTTTCTAAAGTTTTAATTTAAGCCTTTAATGTAAACACAATTATTGATTTTAACTAAGAACAAAAATTGATATTTTACGATAAAAAAATTGATTTTATTTTATATTGTTTTAAAGATGTGATGATATCCATGTTTTTAAAATCGAAAACGATTAAAGCAAAAGAACATGAAAACAATCTTAAATTTGCTACACTTAAAACATAAGTGCTATTTCAATTTGAATTGCAGTACAAAAACTAAAAACTAAGTATCTGAATTTAAAAAAATTCATTAGTCTTTTCTTTCTTTTTAGCGATCAAATCAAATTTGGACAAGAAAATTCACCTAATGTCTGTCACCCCCCCCCCCTCCGTTAATAAAAACTAAATAAATACTGACCTGAGTGAGCGAGGTTTTATTTCACCCCCCTCCCCTACACTCCCAACTGTACTCTTGCTACTAGGTGTTCCTGGTCCAGGAATACTCAGGGACCCTCCCTCGTAGCCCCTGAACAAAATAAAAATATCAAAATTTTAGAATATTAAATATTTATATTTTAAAAAATTAAAAATTTATATTTCAAAATATCAAATATTTAGATTTGAGTTGAAACGTTGAAACGTCGAAACGTTGAAACGTTGAAACGTTGAAACGTTGAAATGTTGAAATGTTGAAATGTTGAAATGTTGAAATGTTGAAATGTTGAAATGTTGAAATGTTGAAATGTTGAAATGTTGAAATATTAAATATTAATTCAAGGAACATTTATCAGAATATTCCACAACAAACTTAGTGTACTGCAATTTCCGGGAGAAACATAAACAACCCTGTGTCTTCACATTCCTCCAAGAATTTGCAGTACACTTCTTTATCTTTGTTTATAAAAAGCTAATTATAAAACGGACAAGTAACTAATTATATTAAGTGTTCTTCCAGGGTCATCTCAAGAAAAGAAGGAGAATTAACGATCTAGCTAAATATATGTAATAGAGAAACCGAACCCCGTTGGTAAAATATAGGGCGACAAAAAAATAGAAAATCTCTTTTTTGCATGGACAAATAGCATATTTTAAAAAAAACCTTTTTTTTACTGGCTTTCTCGTTTACTTTACTGTTCTGTGCAGCACACAAATAACGACATTTAAGTTAAATGAAAACGTTTTTTCGGAATAATATTTTTTTTAAATCTTATTTTTTAATAAATGTTAAAAAATATTCAGCTCAACCAACGATGGTCACTAATTTTTATCTAAAAATTGTCCAATTCGTCTTGGAATCACCATTTACTGATACATTATTCATTTCATTTGTACAAAAACAAAAGGAAAGTGTAATGGTGCATATCAAAACTATAATTTAACTAAACAATAAAGCTTTGAGGAGGTAGCATTAAGCATTTCAAAGTATTTTGGCCCGGCCTGGTAAACAGCAGCAAAAATCATTCTTATTAAGATAACTAGTGTTAAAATATAATTAAAGCAAGAGTGATAAAAAAGAAAAACATTTAGCAAGCTAGGGAACACAGCACAAAGGGAGGGGAGGTTAATTGGGAGTCAGATAAAAAACATCTTAACCAAGTTGCCAATTTAACTTCATAGAAAATTAATGAACTTCCGAACTTTACCGCGAAAGCTAATAGATAAACAATAAAGTATAATTCTAGCCCCTGTAGAATAATTGCTGAGTAGTGCGTAGGACCACCAGTTATTAACATGACACAAATTAAGTTTAGTTAAATTCATTCCAACCCTGGGATATATCTCTGAAATATCTCATTTATTCATTTCCCGAGAAAATTATTAACTTCCCACACTTCCGGGATAAAAAGTTAAAAATCATATCATATGACTGTAATGGAGAAATAGGTAGTTAACAATAAAGCATCCCCTATGGAAAGAGAACAATAAACCAGGGGAAAATGTAAACAAAACTCTCTATCGCTGGGAAATGTTTTAAAAGCCTCAAACACGAGAAAGTGATTTATCTAAAAGCCTCTCACCCTTTCGGGAAATGCAAAATGTTAAAAATCCCCCCCCCTTACTAAATAAAAAAAATTACGGGGAACTTTTAAAGATCTGTAAATCCTGAGTTTGAGCACAAATTCGACGTTCAAAACTCCTTCTTTGGGGTGGATACTTTTTCAGAATTAGTTTTTTTAATAACGAAAAAGTTTGTAAAGATGGCCTGGAATTGTAACGGAAAAGTTTGTAAAGATGGCCTGGAATTGAATCTGAAACGTTTGTAAAGATGGCCTGGAATTGTAACGGAAGTGCTTAAAAATGATAAACGCTTAACTGAGTGCAACTAAACGGTACCAAGTCAAAGCCTAAATTAAAAGCAGGGGTGTATATTTTTTTGAAAATCAAATTTTTCCCCGTTTGTTATACAATATACAATATACATGTTTCTTTAGGGTTTTACTCGATTAATTAGGGAAAATTAATGAATTTTTGGATTAATAGTATCAAAAAGAATAAAAAAAAACTTGTACCTTTTGATGTCCCATTCCCTTCCCCCCCTCAATCATTAAAATAATGAAAAATATACACCCCTGCGAACTCAAATGTCGGAACTTATGTATGAAATGATGCTTGTCCAACACCCGAATGCTGACAGAAGATAATTTTAATTAAACGTTTAGTAAGTACTACTTCGCGAATCTCCAGAGGACCAAAGAGATATGGAGGATTGCTTTCTACAGGGATTTACAATTTAATACAAAATTCCCTAACTGACACAAAAACATATTTTATTAAAAAAACCTTAAACTTGGTACCGAAGCTAGGGTTTGAAACCACAAGTTTGTGGATAAAGTTAGTAAAAATCCTAATTAAATCTATTCTAAAATAAACTAATGTTAATAACACAACATAACAAACCCTCTTACCTGTTAGACAAAATAAATATTATAATCAAATAAATAAAATTAATTTTCTTTTTTAAAAACCGGGTTTTTAAACAATTGATAAGATTTTTCTGACATTTTGATAATATAAGAGCAAAATCAAATTAAAAAAGAAAAACAAACACAAAATCAAGCTATTGAAAAATTGTTATAACACTTTCCTTGAAACAAAACTTAAAAATAAAAAAGCTCTTTGAGTTTTTTGAAAACATAACTTGTTCTGTGTGCAAGTCATAAAACAGTGCAGTACAGTAAGTGTAAATAAAAAGGATGGTTGGGTGTAAAGTAAATATTTACGTTTCTGTTCCGTCATAGCGTTTTGAGAACTTGGAGCTTAGCTTCGAGAAGAAGGAGGTTCGAGCCGCAGAGTTTAGAGCATTCGTATCCTGAGAAAAAGGTAGGTAAGTTGGTAGGTAGGTAGGTAGGTAAATAGATTGGTAGGTCGGTAGGTAGGTAGGTAAGTAGGTAGGTAGGTAGGTAGGTAGGTACCTGTGAGGATATAGGAACCCCATACTGACTAGCTGGCGCTGGTCGTCTTGTCTGTCCACTGTGAAATGTGGATCTAAAATAAAATTTTAAAAAATATTTAGAAAATTTCAAATGTTTGTACAAAATATTATATAGCAGGCATTATGACTAGGTGTGCTAGGGTTGGGAGAAAGAACAACATTGAAAAATAAAGAATTCAAATCGGGNCTTAAATTATCAGGATCAGGAGATCAGGTTCAGGAGATCAGGAGATCAGGAGATAGAATTCAGGATGGAGATAGGGTTTAGATATCAGCATCAGGACCAGGAGTTCGGGATAAGGATCAGGATTAGGATCATCATCAGGATTAGGATCATCATTAGGATCATGATCATGATCATGATCAGGATCAGGATCAGGATCAGGATCAGGATCAGGATCAGGATCAGGATCAGGATCAGGATCACATTGAAATCTATACCTTTAACTCATCAGGACAACACTATAGGTTTCTATTAGAGATGCAAAAACTCTAAATTTATTTAATTAATCTAACTCCAGCAGATTCACAATATTATCAAAATTAACGTGCGGGGATATCTCTGTAACAACGTCATTTGTTCCGATTGTAAGCTGCTCAACTATTTCTGAATTTCACTACTTTTTTATTGTGTTCAATAAAACTGAAAACTAGGGGATTTAATTAAATTGACTGGAAACTAGAAATATATTCTTTAGAAAATAAAATTTAATTTGACTCAAAATGGAGGTCCATTTGTCAGTTTTATCTTATTATAGTTTTCAACAACGGAAATGATTTTTAAGGGAAATTTGAACTAGATCTTTTTTATATTCCTTCTCTAAGCACGTTGTACATTGGTCTTCGTCGTGCCGCGCCAGGTGTACATTATTTGTACACAATGAACTTACCTTGCCGGTACTTGCCGCTGAAAGGATGCAGTAGTTCCCCCTCTACTAGACGCCCCCGGAGAAAGCGGCATTTTCAAACTAAAAATAGGTTTTTACAAAAAGGGGTTTACATTCATCTACTCAACCAGTAAACAAACCACATTGATTTTATACTGATTTATTTCAGGGGGAAATAGTTCGTTTTTTACAGCAATTGATATTTCAGATTTATTTATTTTAAGTGAAAGCCCTTAATCCAGGTTAAGATCTGATTCTTTTTATGAGAATTATGAGGAAACGCTAATCTACAGCAAATGAACTCTATTTCTAGAGCGGAAATTTTTATTTGAAACATATATGCCCTTAATCTGTAAATCTACCAATTTCAAACTTTTCGTGGAAAAGCTGCGGATTTACTTTCAGAAGTTTTGACTTTTGAGTTTTGAACTGATTTAAGAAACGGAACTATTGTACCCCTGAAGATCTACTACAGTAGTGGAATATCACTGAGTAAGCAGAGCTAGGACTGAAGGAGATATAAATATCTTGATTCTTATTAACATCGATTGGTTATTTATACTAAATCAGCCAGAATTATGCAGTCAGTGAAATTACAATCTTAAAACGTTTGCTATTGCAGGTGTAGAGGGATTTAATTTAATCTTTAGAGAAAGAGGTTGCAACAAATTTTACAGCTTTTCTGTTGCATTAAAAAATCAACAACGCTTAGAGCTTTTCACATTACACACCATGTGAATTATTCATTAAAAATTTGCAAACAGAGAAAGGCTGATGAAATGTCCTATGCACAATCGATGTAAGTTCATTAATAAATGCTCTTCTAGATATTTATATTTCCTAAGGGAAACTGAAAAAAAATTTAAAACAGACTAAACATGCAAATTTAAAAAATATCACCAATTCATAAGAAGATGGAATTTTTTCACTAAAAAGTAAAAACACTCCTTATTTCTTGTTCCATTACTTTTGTCAAAGGTGAAAAAATGGTTGAATTAGTCAAACTTGGAAAATTTGTTAAGGTTGATTGAATTTTCTTTTACATACTTAATTGCACTTGAAATGGTAATCAACCGAGATTTTTAAGAACTTTAAACAATACACAAATTAATAATAAAACACTGTGAAGTCTGGACAGTGATTAAAAATACAACATGCAAAATAAAACTCATGAGTGCAGGATTGTGCGCTACTAACTACACTGATATATTCTTAATAATAATTCATCAATCATATTCTAAATCTAAAAGGTTTAAAGCATGCAAGGGTTGGGTGTAGCGATACCAAACCTGGTTCGGTCAGAATCTGCAGCCCCTGCTGAGGCGGGATGGGGGGCGGGGGAATTAGGCCCACCCCCCGCGCAAATGGATGCACTCTTCACGTGACCCTGACGGGGGCGAGGAGTTGCCTCAGGGGCGGCAGTGTCAGAATCTGATTCAGGTCCGGGGGGTGAACTGCTCGCCCCTGTCTCCCCATTGTTAGGGTTGGCGGGAGCACCAGCACCACTATATAGTATAAATACAGAATATACCTCCACATAAATATTTAGTTATTTCTCAACCGGGAGAATATTCTTATCCAAATAAATTTTTAAGATTTAAAAAAAATTAAATTTCAATTCACGACTTTTTCTATCCGGTTGAAAATTATAAATCAATATTAATTTCTTCCATACAATTCTTTGATAACATTTCTGTTATATTTTAGCGCTATGCTAGCGTAGTAAAAGTAAAAAAAGAGGCAATCATTTTATAAATAAATTTATCCCTCTTCTTGAAAGTTTGCAGAATTACTGATTGACATTTTTCATAATCACTCATACGAATTTTAATAAACAAACGAGACATTTGACTTCTCAGAGTCCCTTCTTAAAATATTTATGTTAACATTTTTCCAGTAATTTATAAAAATTACAAATTTCAATTTTCGCCATTCATTAGTTTCCAACCTTCGCAAAAATCAAATGCCAAAAAACAATTTTATATGAAAAAATGGTTCGCATAGAATAATTTGAGATCATCAACGGAGTTCGTGCATATTTTATCTGCAGGGGTATATATTTTCAATGAAACCATTTTGCTGTTCTGGGGATCTAAATAAAAAATTTAACATCAAAAGGCAAGTTTCATAACCCTTTTCGATACTTTTCGCCCAAAGCTTTGTGTATTTTTTCCTTTAATCATATTTTCCCAAAAATCAATGATTGTTCAAGAAAATATACACCCCTGTCCTTAAGTTACAGTTGCCAAAAATCACATCAATATTATGATAAAGTTCTTGTTAGTATTATCTTTATGCATTTTTCAACAAGGCAGAGAAAGATGTTAATTTTTAAATGGACTGAAAGCGTAATCTTAAGAGACCCTCCATGCAAAGATGTCAATGCCCGATTTACAACGATACCATCGAAACCTTAATAGGATCAAAATGTGGAAGATAATGACGTTTTTCTGACTCGAAATGTGTTAATTTGTGCGAGTTTTGCCATTGCCTTAAATAAGCAAGAAATGCGCAAGTCACTTCCAAAGAGAAACCTCAAATGAAAATTAACAGTTTATAGAAACAAAAACATTAATTTCTAATTCATACTTGATCAGACAAAGGTTTCAAGGGTACTATTGATAATCGGTCATTACAATCTTTGCATGGAGGGTCACTTGAAATTACGCTTACAGTCTCTAAGTTTACATTTTATACCCAAGTGCATTTTCAAAAATGTGCAATTTAATTGCAAAATAACAGATCCTAAGCACTGGGTGAAAAAAAATGTTATTTTCCATGAGTTAACAGGGTGGCGTTGGAAAAATGTTATTATCCACCATTTTATTTTACAGGGCGACGTTGAATAAATGCTTAAAAATTCAAGGTTGCCCTGGCATCAATCCCATCACCAACCATCATTAATGTTATTGTTAAGATAGAACTATTGAAGCAGATTATCCCTATAGTTAAACCCAAAAACACAGGGTGTTTGATAAAACATCGTCATTGTACACATTTCTGTAAGAAACGAATTTTTTCTATTTAATTCTAATATGGCAATTGATCGAGTTTTTAACTGTTTTAATTAGGATGTTTTTATTTAAATCAAAGACCCTGTATGTGTACAATATATGCAACATATGTTTTCACTGTACAGTGTACAAAAATTGTACACTGTACATTAATACATCATAAATAATACTTTCAGCTGACCTTGTATTAAGGTTGCCAGATCCCATAGCGTTGGTTTTATCGGTTGAAGAAGACTTCTGCTCGCAGCCGATAGCGGACCGGCGATTGACTGCCGAGCCACCAATCGCCGCTCGACCTGTGGCGTTTGACATGGTGTTGGATTTCGTTATACCACGAGCCTAAAACGTAATTAAAATAATAACACAATTTAAAAACGAGTAAATTATAATAGATAGTAAAGAAAAAAAATGTAATTATAAAATGCAGTTCCAAAATGTTCCAATCGTCAAAGCATTAGCAAAGAAATTAAAAATATAAAATAATAATTTGTTAAAGAGTATTAACTTGATTTGAGAAAATAATTTAAGGCCTATGCGAAGATTTTTCGAGGATGAGATCCGAAAGAAGTTCCATTTTGGCCAACAAAGATTGATTTGATTATCAAAGGGAAAAAAGTTAAGTATTAATAGTGGTAACCAGCAATATAAGTGATATACTTCACTTTATAACACTGCTCTAATGAAACTGAACATGAAGTGAGCATGAATGATCAAGTGTACTTACTTTAGGCGAGGTAGTTGAAGTGGTTCTGGTTGTTTCCGGTTTAGTAGATCCTGCTGTACTTGGTCGGATCGGGGTCAGAGAACTTTGACCAGCTAATCGAGCAGTATTCTCCTAGATAGAGAGGTTTATATAGGTGTATATGCTTATCAACAGGGGGGACGGAATTGGCCATCAACTAGCAAGTTTTACAACCCTTTAGGGTAGTTTAAAACTCAAAATGGAATTTTTTTAGATTCTTTTAATTTTTTCATTTTTATGGAACAAGAAACCTAAAAACATTTATTTTAAAATTTATTTTTAAAAAATGATGCAAGGTTTAAGATTTTCCAGTAAAAATATAGGGTTGTTCAAAATTTCCAGGATACACCATAATTGGGTTGAACAATATTTTCCAGGATACACCATAATTGGGTTGTCATATATATTCCAGGATATCCGATAATTGGGATGTTCAATATTTTCCAGGAAATCCCATAATTGGGCTGTTCAATATTTTCCAGGATATCCCATAATTGGGTTGATCAATATTTTCCAGGATATCCCATATTTGGGTTGTTCAATATTTTCCAGGAAATCCCATACTTGGATGTTCAATATTTTCCAGGAAATCCCATAATTGGGTTGTTCAATATTTTCCAGGATATCCCATGATTGGGTTGTTCAATATTTTCCAGGATATCCCATATTTGGGTTGTTCAATATTTTCCAGGAAATCCCATATTTGGATGTTCAATATTTTCCAGGATATCGCATATTTGGGTTGTTCAATATTTTCCAAGAAGTCGCATATTTGGGTTGTTCAATATTTTCCAGGATATCCCATAACTTGGATTTTAAATATTGTCCAGAAAATCCCATAATTAGGTTGTTTAATATTTTCCAGGATATCCCATGATAGGGGTGTTCAAATTTACCATTATATGTAATATTAGGGGGTGTTAAATTTTTCTAGGGTGTTTAAATTTGCCATGGTTCGTAATATTAGGGTGTTAAGTTTTTCAAATGTTTCTTTACTTTGATGTACAGCATGCAATGTTAAATTACTTAAATGCATTTAAATGTTTGTTAACTTTGATGTATATTGTACTGCAATGTATATTTACTGTAATGTACTGCAATATTTGTTTACCTTTATTGTAGCGGAATCCACGGTGTTTTGACGTTTAAAGTTTGAGTTAGCAGAAGTAGCATTAGTTCTAGGAACTGCAGTGGGGGGACCTAAATAAAAATAAAATAAAACTTTAATCATGAAAAAATTTGAGAATTCGAAAAAGTAGAACGCAAAGTTTGTAAAAAAATACTTGCCAAAAAAATTTCCGATCGACTTTTCAACAAAAAATTTTCTTTTCGTTTTTATTTATAATATTTCTCTGATATTTTAACTTAAAATATTTTTTTTTCAGATTTTTTTTTATTTTTCTTTATCGAATTATTTGGAAAAGAATAGGGTAAGAAAAGAAAAAAATACACAGCAAGCTAGTAACATATATTTACATATATGTACTTATGTATTGTACAAGTATATTACCCGGTACAAAATATATTCACCAGTTTTTTACCGGTTGTACACTGAACATGTACAAGTATATTACCCCGGGGCCGGTACAAAATATATTCACCAGTTTTTTACCTACTGTACACTGAACATGTAAAGCTTTTAAACTACAATGAACATAACAATGCAGGGAAAGTCAAGGAATCTCAAATTGCGAACAAGAATTTGAATTTGAGAGACCTAATTATCATTGATGTTGCTTTATTTGGAGGGGGATAGGGGGGGGGCTTGTCTTGTTTAAGCATTTACCTTTTTAAAAAAAAAACAATAAAAACCATCCAATTATAAAAAGTGATCACTGTGTCTTGTGTATGTAAGATATGTATATTTGTACAGCACATTCTAATGTACAGGGTTTTCATGCTGTTGATACAAAATAACCCTAAGTTTATATAACACAAAACATGCTGCCTAACCACCCCCCCCCAACCCTCCCATACCATCTGAATTTAATTTGTTTTAAACTAGTGATTTAGATTGACCTCGCTTTAATAATTTAATATCTGACCTTACTTAAGTTCATAATTAATTCTTTATACTTAGGTTAGATAAAAACTTCCAAATATTAAAACTACTAAAATATCAAATGTTGACCGAGGACAAAGAAAAAAAAAATTTCAACATAAACTGAAATTGCGGTAAAATTACTTAACCATAAAGAGACTTACAAAGAGTACCTAAGCCGATAATCAATGAAGACCATTTAACTGAATTTGAGCCGGTTAACAATGTATTCTAAATGAACCTGAGGCCACTTATGATTGCAGACTTGAACCTGAGCTGGTACAACTAAAGAAGACCTTAAACAAAACCTAAGTCAGTAACTTATTTACTTCTTCATAAGTTACTGACTCTGAATCCCCACACAGTATCCCCCGAGCAAGACAAAGCTAATGGGAGTATGTTTTGAGCAGGAGTGCGAGAAAATGTTTAATTAGTTTCTCTTCATCACTCGCACTCCAGTATTTTTCAATACTCCTTGGCGTCGTCTTGGAATAGTATTACATGTAGAGGGAAGACAAGATAACCCCTGTCCAATTTAACTCAAACCTTGCGTTAAATTTAAATTAGCGTTTTTTTCTTGGTTCATTATTATTGTATCTTATGAATACTGTCAACGTATAGAAAAACTTACAAAGGAAGATAAAATAATTATCCAACAGAATACCATTCTTTACTGCCCACTTTGAATGGTAGAAAACTAAGGAAACCCTTTTGAAGAGATACACTCCCGATTAACGACAGTACCGTTAAACATTTATAAAAGAAACTGTGAGGAAGCTATTGTCGATTTCCTTTCAACCAAATAAACTCGACTGAGGTTGGATGTATTTCCTCTTTAATCCACTACTCCAAGAGACACTAGGTCTACCACACAGGGTTCATCTCTAACCTTGACCTTGACCTTTCTCGCTAGCCGTGGCTGCAGGCGCGCCGGTTAACTCACAAGCATTAGTTTCCGCACCGGTGGACCCACGCCGGGGTTTGTTGCTCGTCGCACTGATACTCCGCTGCACCCCACGGTGGGAGGAGGCGTGGGCGGGGCTGGGGGCGGAGCTCTGGCCACCAGAACCTCCCGGAGCTGTGGCTCGGAGAGACAAGCTGGAACCTGATCTACTCCCCTCAGAGTCAAGTTGGAACAAAAACTGAAAACAAAATTATCAAAAAAAAATACTTTTTCTTTTCTTTTCTCATCATTATAACAATAGTGACTTATTAACATTTAGTGGGACATGAGATATTTTAAATCCACATTAAAGGGTCTGTAAGTTTAAATTCAAGTGACCCTCCAAGCAAAGATCGCAATGCTAGATTCACAACGGTACCCTTGAAGCTTTGTCTGATCGTATATGACATTTTTTTAATTTAAAAACTTAAAATTTTCAACTGTAGTTTATCATTGCTGTACTGAAGAAAAACATATAGGACTTTTCAAAGTTTAACACTTTTAACCTCGAAAATCAACAATATGGTTCACATTATTGCATATTGAGCAGATAAAGGTTTTAAGGGTACCGTTGTAAATCGGACATTGTCATCTTTATGTAGAGGATCAATTGAAATTACGAGTACAGTCCCTTGAAAAACTAAAAACATAACTTAAAAAGGGATTTTGGGAAAGGCCCACAAAAGATTTAGGGAAATGAAAAAAAAGTGACTTCGCAATATAATATTATACCAGACAACATTTAACAAAAATATTCTTAGAACCTATGCACCAAAGACAAGAAAAAAGAAAAAAGAAAAAAATGTTGAATTTCCTCGTCCAAATTTTTTTCTTTAAGGATGTATAATTTTCTTTTCGGAACAATGAATATTAAGTTTTGATAATAATAATTTAATTTATAATTTAATGACGAAACTTTTTATTTATATTATTTTAATTGATGATCTTACGTCTGTATTTCTTCTGCCTAGAAGAAGATACGATGCATAGCAATCATCAAACTTCTGCTGTTTTAATGCTTCATCTACTTGACTGTTTGTGAACCCCATGGTCTAAACGAACAAAATGATAAAAAATCCACAAAATCAAATATGATCTACTAAATTACACAAACTAATTATCATAATAATTGAAATAAATATCGACCCTACACCCCCCCCCTTGCTTTTCAAAAATCATATTCATCCGTACCCAACTAAATTATTGAGTGCATTTGACAACAACAACAAAAAATAGTGAATATTTCCCTTTTACCCATGTCATTTCTTTCAATTTTATCATTCACCCCCCTCACCCTCTACCCAGGGCATAACGTTATACAATTCTCAAAATTTATTTTTACAAATTTAAAAATCTAAATTTTGAACGCACCGTTAATATTTCTATTCTTTTCATGTCTGCCCAGTCCTGTACAGGTTCTATATACGGTTTAAGGTCCTCCTCCTCGAAACCCATGTTCATCCATTTATCCTTCATGATCGCCTGAAATACATCAAATCAATCAATTAATCAATCAGACAGTCAGCCATTTAATCAATCAGTCAAACAATCAATTCATGATCGCCTGAAATATACGCAATCAATCAATCCGTCAAAAATCAGTTAATCAATCAATCAATGCATCAATCAAATCAATATCAATCAATGCATCAATCAATGCATCAATCGATGCATCAATCAATGCATCAATCAATGCATCAATCAATGCATCAATCAATGCATCAATCAATGCATCAATCTATGCATCAATCAATGCACCAATCAATGCATCAATCTATGCATCAATCAATGCATCAATCAAGGCATCAATTAATGAATGAATGAATGAATGAATCAATCAATCAATACATAATGCAATGAATAAATTAATGAATCAATCAACGGATCAATCACTGAATTAATCACTGAGTCAATTAATCTGCTCAGGAATAAATCGATCAATAATTTTTTAATCCACATCAATATTAATTAGAAAAAAATAATTCCTCTTAAAAAAAGATCTGTTACCTCTAGCGACGCTCTGCGAGTTGGATTTAAAACAAGAAATTTCTGCGCACAATAATTAATTAATAAATTGAAGAAATAATAACTTAATATTAAAACTGAACAGTGAACATATTATTGATAATATAATTTCTAGTTTCCTAGAAATAAACTTGAGAGAAAATGAATGTTTCGAGCAAATATATCATTTTGTAATTGGTTGGTAGAGGCAACTAGGATGTTTAGGAAGGTATTTGATTGTACTAATGATGATTCATTATTTCAACGAGTGGAGTGTCCGATTTGCAGCAGTACCCTTCAAACCTTTGCTAGATATATCCCTTTATACCCTTTAAACCTTTGTTAGATATATCCCTTTATACCCTTTAAACCTTTGTTAGATATATCCCTTTATACCCTTTAAACTTTTGCTAGATATATCCCTTTATGCCCTTTAAACCTTTGTTAGATATATCCCTTTATACCCTTTAAACCTTTGCTAGATATATCCCTTTATACCCTTTAAACCTTCGCTAGATATATCCCTTTATACCCTTTAACCCTTTGTTAGATATATCCCTTTATACCCTTTAAACCTTTGCTAGATATATCCCTTTATATCCTTTAAACCTTCGCTAGGGTAACAATGTGGGATATATCGTCATTTTTCTTGAAGAGTTAAATTCAGAAATTCTTTGAAGTCTAATTCTGCAGTCACAACCTTTCATAATAACTTCCAGACGTAAGTTTTAAGGATACCGTTCTTTCATCTTTTTAAAAGAGGGCCTCTACAAATTAGGTTTACAGTTCCTTTAAACCTTTCCACACTTTTTGAGAAGCTAAAAATGAAACTTTAAGATGATATAAAATGTCAAAAGTTGCTGAATAGTTAGTTAAAGTTTGTTTTTTAGAACTGAATATAAGCCTTTTCAGACGGGGGGAGGGGAGGGGGGTTGCAGATAATGCAACATAGTTAAATAAAGTGAATAAGTGAACAGAAAAGAAGAATATTGGAAAAATGATGATCTGCATTAAGAACATATTCTATCAATAACTAGTCACTAAAAAACCGTAATTTGTAAAAATATGAAAATTTTTAAAAAAAATTGGGTAAAAAGAGTTAATTATAGTTTCCTTTAACAAGTTTTCACAGTCTGTACTCATATAGAAGGGTATTCTATATTTTCCTCGCAGTACTCGTTCCCTGAATAATAATAATTAATTATCAGTACAGTACAGTTTCAGTACAGTACAGTTTCAGTACAGTACAGTAAAGTACAGAAAAGTACAATACAATACAGTACAGTACCGTACAGTACAATACAGTACAGAACAGTACAGTTTCAGTACAATACAGTACAGTACAATGAAGTGCAGTACAGTGCAGTACAGAACAGTACGGTACAGTAGAATACAGCACAGAACAGTACGGTACAGTAGAATACAGTACAGTACAGTGCAGTACAGTACAGTACAGTACAGTACACTTCAGTACACTTCAGTACAGTACAGTAACGTACAGTACTATACAGTAAAGTACAGTGCAGTACAGTACAGTACAGTACAGTACACTTCATTACACTTCAGTACAGTACAGTAACGTACAGTACTTTACAGTAAAGTACAGTGCAGTACTGTGCAGTACAGAACTTTCATCTGTTACTTATTAGGACAGCTTTCCGAAACTGATAATTTATTGTAAAAAATAATAATAATTAGTTAAACATGGTTGCACAGGCCCGACCATGATATTCCAACCTTTGATTACATATTTTGTTGTTCACAGGAATTCAGAGAGCAATATTTATTCTTTAGAAATATTTCATATTTTTAAATATTTTATTTTATTGAACGTAAAAAAATACAATATTTACTTCACACTTTTTTCATTTAACAATTTTAAAAATAAATATTGTGATGATATGAGATCTATGTGGAAAATACCTAATTTTAATAAAAAATGTAATAAAAAAAACATTTACTTATTTCAGGGGGAAAAATCAAGAACATTAATGAATCAATTAATTCTTAACAAAACTGGACTTTTCAAGTTCTCTCAAGAAATATATATTAAAAAAAACTTGTAAGAACACTTGCTTAATTACTTCATTAACATGATAAACCCCCTCCCTCCCAATCGCTAAAAGCTTGTAAAACTATTTCTTTAAACAAATCTTGTTTGTCTTTTTGACAAATGTACAGTGTATACCCCTGTCTTACCCTGGAATAGTTCTGGAGCAGCGTACGGTGGACTCCCACAGAAAGTATCTAACTTATTCCCTGAACAAAACAGTAAATAAAATAACTGTAAAGGGTATCATCAAGATTTGGGAGCAGCAAGGACGAAGAATAATTATTGGAACTGATTGCTCGCCCTCTACTATCTTCTCACGGAATAATGTTGATTTTAAAAATTTTACTAATTGATTCAATATAAGTTCAAACACATATGAGTTAAATCCTTTAAGTGCTTAAGGGCTTAGAAGATGAAAAAAGGGAAAGGCCATTTCTTAAGACATTTATTCAATTAAAGATGCACGTCATGACACATTTCATGCTAAATGCATCAAACAAGCTTCCGCAATTACTAGATACTAGGCATCATCCCTTTCAATTCAAATTGTGAACATGTTCTTTTGTATACATTGTAAACCAAAGACCAAAAATAATTTCGCGGATTTAAAAAAAAAATTTGTGGATTTTTAAAATTTTAAAAATCGAGTTTTTCTAGAGACAAATTCTTGAAAATTCGCTCTTCGAAAATTTTGGCCCGATTGGTTCAGCCGTTTTGACGTTTATTGGATACAAACAGACAGACCAACAAACAAACAGACAGACAAGCGAAGTAAGGATTAATTATATTATTTTAAATTTTTTATTGGTTTATTTTCTTCGCGATTTTTCAGAACCTTTTCTTCTTGTTTTCTTTACTATAAAATTTGCGAATTTTCAGGATTACAAAAATAAAAAATAAAAAGTAAACCAATCCAAGAAGTGTGTGCATCTTTTTTGTATGCAATTTTTTGATGTTGACCTATTACAGGCTCCGTAAAATCAGACAATTTAAAAAAACAAATATGTGATCTTAAAAAAGTTAACGCGAGAATTAAATTTCTCATAGGTTTGGTTGACACTATTAAACGACTAACCAAGTAATAACTTGAATTTTCAATAAACGACCTTCGCTAATGGGACTGTTAGCGTTATTTCAATTGACCCTCTCTACAAATGTGATATTTGCGCATTTTTACCGCATGAAAACATAGGAAATTATCAAAATTTAACACTTTTCAATTTAAAAGACGTGAATATCTTCCACACTATTGATCAAATAAATGGTTTTGGTTTCCCTGGGGAATCACTTTATATTACGCTTCCAGTCCCTTTAAAACCTTTTTTAGTTTTAGGCAAACAATATCTGACCTGGAACAAACTCATTGCTGAACCCGAAATCTGCAATCTTGATGTTCATTTCTGAATCCAGTAACAAGTTCTCAGCCTTCAGATCCCTTGATAAACAACAGATAGTTAGAGAAAATAACATTTGTTTCGAACATCAAACATCAGACATCAACGATCAGAAATCAAGAAGTGTATATAATAGAGCGAAGTGCAGAGCTAAGAGCTTGTAGTGAATATCAAAGATCAAAGTACAAAGATCAAACGGAAACTACATTGTTTAAGGAGCAAATATCAAAGGTCTAAACGGAATAGTTCAAAGTACAAAGATCAAGCGGAAACTACATTGTGTACAAGGAGCAAATATCAAAGGTCTAAACGGAATAGTTCAAAGTACAAAGATCAAGCGGAAACTACATTGTTTAAGGAGCAAATATCAAAGGTCTAAA